TTCAAGAAAAATTATTATTATTCTCGTTATGGTGCGGGTAACGTGGAATATTGTGGAAGTGCCACGCCGCGCCGCGCCGTTCAAATATATAAATGTATACAACTGCCAATAAAATACTCGCACATTATGATCTAGGTTTATATTAATTATAGCTTATCTATACATTATTTTGGAAAACGGAGATTAGAAATGAAATGAGCTCTTCTAATTTATATCCATTCTTGTCGATGATGCCGGTAAGCGGTAATACTTGGAAAGTAGTAGATTAGTCAGGCCAAATAGCAAGTAGTTCGATATTTCCACGTAAAATTCTTTGTAAAAATAATTAATACTTAATAATGAGATAAACACGAGTATATTATAGTGTAGTATATACCTAATATACCTATACTAAAATATAAATTTACCATAGTCTATTTTCATGGTGCAAAATTTTTTTAGTTTGGTTCGTTTGTCCGCTCCATCATATTATTTATTATTATATTTATTTATTGTTATATTATTGAAGTCTTGTATGATAAAAAAAAAAAATAGGTCCGCGGTCCGGTTCGGTCCAGTCCATAAGCTTTTACAGTCCGAAATTTATCAGTTCGGACCGGCGGTCCGGTGTCGGTCCACTCTAACAAATTATTTTAAATTTTCAGTCCAGTCCGGTCTAAAATTAAATGTAGCAATCGGTTCGATCCGACTTCGGTCCTTTTTTAACATTTTCAGTCCGATACGGTCCCTTAAATTACTGACCGTGCAGAGCACTACTATATAGTAATTAGTAACACAAAAAGTTCATCACTAAATACTCCAAAATTAATGTTGTGAATTAAATTAATCACTAAGTTTATTTACGTAGAAGTATTTTCTTTTAACTTTAACAGTAATTTATTTTTGTAGAATACATGAAATAAAAGTTAAAGATCGAAGTATCATGAAGTGTATTGTAATTAACCTCAACAACAAAATTTAACTCATTTTCTACCTGTTTAAATTCTAACTAATCGATAATATAATTTCAATATATATTATGTTTTTGCATGTAAATCTGTTAATTTTACAAGTAAATTATTTTATCTTAATAAATATGTCCTAAGTATTGTAGAATTCATTATTTTTAATACTTAAAATTGTGTTTTTAATAAAACAAATCATAAAAATAGGTATGGTGAAATAGCATTGTCCTTGTCAGCTATTCTTTTGAATATAAATTTAAATATGAGCATGTTTCGTCTTATTTCGAGTGGTGGTGTAATTGCTTCACATAGGATGCTTATTATGGAGCTGGTTTTAAAGGCGCCAATACTCAGTTGGATGCCTTGGTTGTGAATTGGATTTAATGTTTTTAGAATTGATTCAGAGGCTGCTCCGTAAATTATGGAACCATAATCGATTACGGATAGAACTAAACTTTTATATGTTCTCATTATGATGCTGCTGTTAGCTCCCCATGCTCGATTAGAAATGGCCCTGATTATATTTAGTCTTAGTTTTGTCTTAGTTTTTAAAAATTTTATGTGATTGGACCAATTTAGTTGATTGTTTAAGTTTAATCCTAACATTTTTAAGTCGTTTGTGGGTGGAATTAGAATATTTTTCATGTATATATGAGGTAGGATTTAATTTTTTTTTGTATGAGAATAGTATACTTTTGGATTTTGCTGGACCAAATTTAAACCCCGTAGATTTTTCCCATTTGCTAATTTCATTAATGGCGTTTTGCATGAGTATTTTTAACGTGTTTATATTTCTTCCTCTGCAGTATATGGTACTATCGTCGGCAAACATAATAGTTTTGAGTGGTGGTGGTATTATACTTGGGAGTTCGTTAATAGCTATTATAAAGAGGGTGACACTTAAACTTGATCCTTGGGGTATGCCATTTTGGAGAGTATGATTACTGGAATGAGTTTCATTTAATTTCACCGAGAAGGATCGTTTTGATAAAAAATTTGAGATATAGGCGAGCGTATTACCATTAATTTTATTTTTTTGGAGTACACCTATCTAGTATTCGTTAGCGTCAAACCATGTCGTAGGCTTTTTCAATGTCAAGTGAAGTTAATAGTACGTGTTGTTTGATGTTGAAGGTTAGGTTAGGTTAGGTTAGTTACATTTCTTAAAATAACCAATCTATATAATAGAATTTAAACAGTTATGTATTATTATTACTTACACTATTATTATCATTTCCTTTATATTACATTATACTATTTTACCTTTAATTAAACATTATGATGATTGTAAATAACACATAAATTTGTCTTTTTTTCCCGGCTAATAACTAAAATGTTGAAGCTATAATAAATGAATTAAAAAAAAAATCATAACAATATAATAATTGTATTTAGGACCAGTTTTTCAATCTATTTAATTCGTCAAATAAAAGTTATTTCCTACAATGTAGGGCCTACATGACAAAGTTGTGTCATTCTTTAGTTTTCCAGTATCGCAATAAGTCCTGTTTTACGAATAAATCATAAAATACAAGATAATCTGTACCTTTTCTACCGGCAAGAGGTTGTCTGACGAATAACCCAAGTTTGTAAATCTGCTTATCTCTAGTCTTTATGATATGGACTAAAATAATACCACAGTTTATATACATTTTATGAAATCTGTTACGATAGGACTGAGATAATAATAACTTAGTCCGTGTACAGTACAATATACCGTAACTTTATCAAAAATCATTGATAAAGCAGTATACCTATATTTTAACTAATTAAGTGAAGTTGATCGGTGCAACTTGGTCGACTTTATTATACACGATACACAATCTGTTAGTAGGTATCAAAGTCTACCCGAATAGTTTTACTCTCCAAATAACTGTGCGATACGTAAATATTTGTGTTAAAAAATACTATTTTACGTTTTATTCGAAATTGTATTAATTGGGCTGAATGAATTTATTCGACGAATAACTAGATAATTGAATAACTGGATCTTAATAGATTTCGAAGTTCATTCGACGTAAATTTTTCGCATTGTTAAAACCTGTAATCGCTATAACTTACCAAACTTGACTTGGAAATCTTGTTCCAAATACAATTATAGTTTTTTTTAAGGCTAAATATGATAGCACGCCTTCTATCTTATAGTTCACATAAAATATAAATTGTAGGATTTTTATTTGGATAATACAATAATTTAGTTTCAAAGTAATTTTAAGTGCACTAAAATGTTTATTGAATATTCTCTAATTAAAATGTAATGTTTTTAAGTCAATGAACACAATGTTTTATAATACTTCAACTATTTATGCTATCTGTATTTCCCTTTTTTTGAATACATATTATTGGTAATTTAAATATATAAATTTGTATTTATTGACTCAAAATTGCTTTTAATAGCAAACCATGACAAATCAGCTAACTCAGTGACAACAAGGTTTTTTTCCGTCATAAATATGTTGATTTCTGAACATAAATGAAAAAATCTTTTCAAGACAATACCTCGGCTGAGTCAACTAATTTCACAATGACAGGGAATATCTGGGTACTCGCTTTCGATGTCAGCGAGAAAGTTCTTAAATTGACGGTGACTTAGAACACTTTTTTATTATTAGTTAATGTTATATACATAAGTAAGACTATTATAAATAACACCAAAAGAAAAAATTATCATATTAATTTTATAATTAATGAAATTTATAAAAACTTATGTCATTTTCAATACATTAATTTGCTTGGCAGGCCAGATTTGGCCCGCAGGCCGAAGATTGGAGACCAATGATCTAAACTTATACCCCTGAAGAACTTAATAAATGAGTATTCACATATTAATCCGTTTTAAGCTGATTTGTTCAATACAAATACAATATTCTATGCGGAAAGACGTATATTACATTTTTTTTTTTTTTTTTGTAATTTAATCTTTGAAGCTTTTAAGATAATGTTATAGGATAAATATATATGTAGTTATTATGTGTTTCACAGGTAAATAGTTACACATGTATAAATTAATATTACTGTAGTGTATGGTATGTAGGTTTTGTGAATCTTTTTCGAAATAATATGAAGTTTAAGTTTACCGAATTTATATGACGAGACATCTCTGAAAACATGAAAACTATGTTTAATAAAAATGTATGTTTTATGATGTGATTATAATGTCTATATATAAATCTCAAACAGTAAGTCATCACAAACAGGCTTCTTTCCGAATTTAAAAAATAAACGGCTTGACTATTAAGTAAAAAGAAAAAATTATATTTTAGGTAACTACCGACATTTTTCTCTTTAGGTTCTAATAAAAATACTCTCCAATTAAATTTTCAACATTGCGGAGGTAAAAATCCGTAAAATTATATTTTTTAATATTGTAATTTTTTGCGTCGTTTTCTAAAATTACGTAATTGTACGAGAAAAGCCCGATTCACATTGTTACCGCACGGTACGGTCCATCACATCACGTACAGGCACGACAAAATATTATATTATTATTTTATAATGAGATAATTCACATTGATGCGGCCGGCACCGCACTGTTACGTTACAGCACGGACCGGACCGACAATATATAATCCAAAAGAATGTTTTGACGGTGCGATATGTGTATTACGTCTGTCGGTGTAGTGTGAACAAAGAAATTATTACTATTATTATTATTATTATTACACAATGAATTTATTTAAATAAAACGTAGAGAAATTACGAAATATATTAAAATTCTTGAAATATTATTGAACACCAACAAATACTGAATCACACATCAATTTCTAAACACTGAAAATAACACTAAACTGCACTGAATGACTAACCTGCGTATACAGGTGAATGTTATTTGGACGATTTGTCGTGACGTTACGTGCTGTGACGATCCGTGCCATGCCGTAACACTGCGAATCGGGCTTTTAGTATACGTATTTTAATACGTATTTCCGTAACCACAATATGATTCTACGTGTAATACCGTTATAGAATGAGGTGTTCTTGTACACCGATCAAAACAAAAGACAGAAACCCATAATCGGCCGTGTACAATAATACCGTTTTCCATTACTGTTGCAGGGCTATGAGGGACGCGCAATTAAAGAGAGACAAATTATTCAAAGAGAACAGAAAGAACGAATGCAAACGGCTCAGGGATTCTAATTGCACGACATTGATGCTCATTGTCGTCGTGACGGTTTTCTTAATGACTGAAATCCCATTGGCCGTGGTAACGGTAAGTAATTTTGTTATATCTGTTAAGGTTCAAGGAATTATCGTTAACACTAGTTTTCCACGAACGTTTTGTATGAATTTCCAAAATGAACACCGAGTTGAAGTTAAAAAAATAACTCATTGTTCCGTTGATGAAATTATACGCGTTACTCGTACGAACAAAAATAGTGTTGTGAGTTATTTAGATAAAAATCTATTATTATCTATTATTTTATTTAGGTAGATATATAAATATTATCTATTTATCTATTTTAGATGAACATTTTAGTTATCTACAGTTTATTCTGTTTATTTATCTAATTTTTTGGTTTTATGTATTATATTTAATAAATATTATTTTTATATTTAATACAAAAGGGCTCAGCCCGTAAATATATATATTTCAGGGGTGACCAAACCGCGGCTCGCGTCATAGACTTTTTCAGCTCGCATCTTATCGTAACATTTAAAAAAAAAATTTTTTTAATATGAATTTATGTATTTGAAAAAGTATAATATTTTATTAAATTAAATTAAATTATTAAATTACAGTGTATAGAAAAAAATTTGTAAAAATAAAGTATTCTTGATATCATTTTTCTTAATTGACTATTTTCTTATTTGTTGCGTGTTTATTTTGCTTGTAAGCTTTTTAAAATCAGGACTATATGTTGTTAAGGCAGTCCTCAACAATTCAGTTAAATGATAATCCGTTAATGTTGATCGATGTTCAGATTTAATCATTTTCATGGTTGAGTATAAAGACTCGCAAGAATATGTTGTTCCAAAAATCGATATTAACTTTTGAGCGCAAAGAGTAATTTTTGGATATTTAATAACAGGCACATGTTTCCAAAATTCCAACAGAGAATGACAACTGTATTTGAACTGCTTCAGTCCTTAATCTTCCAATAATTCCAAGAATTCAATTTCTAAAGCTGCCATATCCATTGAAATTGATTTTAATATTGGACATCCATTTTCAATAACGTTAATTACAAAGGGATTTTCTAGAAATGTAATCGAAGGTTTAAGTAATTTCAAGTATTTAAATCGATCTTCAAAGTGAGTTGATAAACACTCTAATTTTTGTACACAATCTTCACAATTCAATTTTGTTGCTATTCCAACCAAATAATCCTCAATTTTTTTTAAATACGGAAAATGGTTTAAATTATTAGTTCTTAAGTCTCTTTGAAAAAGTTTAAGCTTATTTTGGAAACTAAAAATGTCTTGTACTAGGTTATTTATAAATTTATTTTTACCTTGAAGAGACATATTTAATGTGGCTAAGTGATGCACAACGTCAGTACAAAATGACATATCTCTTAACCATTGTGGGTCTGAAAGTTGTGGAAAATTTTTATCTTTTTCTTTTAAAAATGTTTTAATGGGTTCTAATAAATCGAAAAATTTTATTAAAACGTTATTTACCGATAACCATCGAACTAAACAATACCACGGAATATCATTTGGAATATCATCCTCTAAACTTTCAATAAAGTTTTTAAATTGGCGATGTATTTTTGAACCTGAACGTATGTAATTCACAATTTTAAGAACAATTTCTTTTAGTTAGTTAAATTAGTTAGTTTTAATTAGTTTCGTTCTATGAAAAAGAACTCTTCTTCCCATTGTAATTTGAATTCTCTGTGTTCTTCTTCATACTTGCGTTTCTTAGACATAATAATTATTTTATTAATGTTGAGTTGTTACACGCATGACGTCAAAAAACACTATGAAGACATAATATCCATTGTCCATGTGTGTCTATGTCTGTATGATATTTTGATATTTATGGTATTTATGAAGATAAAATTTAATTTGAGATTATTGTACAATTATTGTTATCTTATTCTTCACATTTTATTAAATACCATACCTTAACTTATCTTATTTACAATAATACAATATCATATATATAAATTATATAATAATATGACCTTTTTTTTTTTTTACATTTTGGCTCTTCCATATTTATTAATATATTTGGTGGCTCGCAAGTCTTTTCTTGCTGGCTACCCCTAATATATTTAGTCCACTTGGAGCAGTTTTCATTTTATTAATTTTATATTAATAAATTTTAAAACATCCATGACTCGCTAAACGGCTAAAAAGATAAACATATTCATCCATCCATCACCAATAACCGTTCTCAAACACTTCTCTACCACGATAGGTCTTATCACGGAAAACATCAACGCTTAAATGAGATTCAAAAATAAGTATATACTATTACATTTTTAGCTAAAGTTTTTTATTATAAATATATAAACACTTTTAAACCGAGATACATTTTAAACGCCTCAAACTAATACAAAATGATTTATTCGTGGTAGGCCTATTAATTTTTTTTTTGTTTATTTTTTTAAATTTATTATAAAATTGTTTTTTAAAAATGTATCTGCTTTTTATTTACATAAAAATAATATAATTATCTGTTATATTTAATAAAAATAATTTTAGATAAGCTTATTTTTATTTTTATCTAATAGATTTTTAGTACATCTGTAACTACATAAAAAACGTATTTATCTGAGCTCAACAGTGACAGAGAATACTAGTGAGAGAACGTATAATGGAAAAGGATCGTTGAAAAGAGAAACCCGCTTAGTGACGGGTTGGAAATAATAATATTAAAATAATATGGTGATGCATTATATAGAATGCACAGTCACTATTAGAGTACGAGGACTCAGAAAAAAACCGTCAACTGAAACCTATTGTTTAAAGTCGGAAGTTTTCTAATAAACTATCGTAGTTATGATAATAGTGAAAAGTATCCACGGTTTTTTCGGTCGAACACACATTTGTTACACGAATCAAAACGATTATAATTCAAGTATAGATCGTGTGTATTTATTTGTTTTACACTCGAGGTATTATCATGGTTTAACTGTATATATTTTAATAACTTTTAAAAAACACGGGATTTAAAAACAAATAAATAAAATAAAAATTGAAACGATAATAATTATGACATGGATCACTCTAGATGAATAAATTGCAACAAAACCTCTGTGATCGGATTTTGAAACAACAAACGAAACGAACTAAATACCCTGCGTGCGCTACTGGTAATATAACGCCGTATGCAGCCGTACAGTTAATATTACGTATTTTTTCATTCGGAGGTATGCGCGTTTATTCGATTTACGTCGTCACCAAAGATTAGGTATTCAAAAGATAGTGCGCACATTTAACTTGTTCGTCATTCCAAGTAGGTAAGCCATGATATTCGGAAATTTTAGTGGTACAATATTTCTATGTAGAGTGTTGCATTCAAAGGGGTAAATAATGTTTTATTACCGTATTGCGGGTTGCCTGGGAGGATTTTTTAAGGCGAACGAGTGGTCGAAGCGCCCTTTTATATCTATTCGTTAATAACTAAATTATTTTATTACTTTGTAACTTGAAATAAAACCATTTAAACAATACATTATTTAAATATACACTGTATTAATTCGAAATACTTCTTTTCTGCAGACAATAATTATTGTTCCATTGGATCAATATACGTAACTAAACTGCCAATCTTTTTTTATGTGTAATTGTACTTATTGTATAAACCGTACTATGAAATAAGCCACTTAAACACTATTTTAACAGTTACCATCTTTGAAAAGTGAAATTGTAATTTAATTGCAAACAAAATAAATAAAAACTTTGACGATCCAAAACATTTACAATTTAAATAATTTATGCTTAAAATATTGTTGTTGTCAAATATTCATTTGAATATAGACACTTAAAATTTTGCCAAAAAATAAAATCTTTCACGTCTGCTTAAAAAATATATATTTCGTTTTTGAAAAAACCGTGTTTCATTTCAGTATTTTTTGAGACAAATATTTAAAGTACTTTTGTTATGAATTATTTAATTTTTTTTCCCCCCATAATGTTGATTTAACTATTTAATCAATATTCAGTATTCAGTGTCAAAACATATAGCAATCAATATTAGAATCCATAGTTTTAAGGAAAAATGTAAGCTTTTCGCCGGTCGCTAAAAACTGTATATCCAATATTTAGTGGTTCTTGAACAAAAGGAAAACACGTTTGTTTATCTCGCTTAACTAAAATAAAATAAACTAAAAAAAATGTACAATCATCAAACTACCATAACGTTCCAAACACCCATGGCCTTTGTGTTCTCTGTTACAATATTTTTTATCCATCAATTTCCATTATTCTTGTATTTTCTACACCTGAACAATTGCCTGCTCGTTTTTGTTCAAACTACGGTAACCTACCTAAATGATACAGTACTTCACTTCTATTTCTCCTGAATCCTCCTATCGAAATTGCATCTTAAGGGTGACAAGTTTTACCACTGTAATCGGATTCTTTAGCAACAATATCTCAACATAAATTGAGTTGATCCACCACAGTTGAATCAGTAAATTGCATTCGGTCTGATGAAAATAAATAAATTGGATCTACCCAAAAATAAAATAAACTATTTATCACAACGTAAAAAAACCATACAAACTAAATTATTCAGAAAATTCAGTGATGTAGTCTCAAAAAAAAATTTGAGTGTACGCCAATTTTAAGTAAAAATAGCGAGTGGAGTTAATCCTTACCCAACGACCATTTTTTTTGTCTGTGAGCGATAAAATTAACTGATAAAATAAATATCTGAATTTACAATCAATAAAATTAAATTAAAGACAATTACAGCAACTTACTGCAGTGTGACGGATTTTTATGCTATATTTCTGTGCAATCAAATTAAAAATAAATCTATAAAATGTAAATAACCGTCCCTAATATACATGATAACAAGGAAACAAATTTGATTTTTTTGATTTTTGTAAAAAAAAAAAATGTTAAAATTTGTTAATACTATTTATAGCTATGATGTTTATAGTATAACTATATATCACAACTTATAAGTATACGCATCAACCAAAAAATGAACAAGTCGTTATACACTGTATACCCACGTATACGTTCCACTATACCAATGGTTAAATTATTTTCAAACCAGAGTTTAAATTTCCACTGAGATAAGTGCAA